CGCCCCCAAGAGATGAACACGTTTTTTTTTCAGAGTGTCCGAAGTCGCCCAAGTGGTGGAGCCCATCGAGGGCCGCTCGCAGCTTCAGTGCACGCTCCGCCTCCGTCTCCGAGTCCAGCTGGGCAGCGCTCTTTTTCGGCCTTCACGGCCAGCGAGTCGGGCTCGGGCGGGGCTGCCCTGGCCTTGGCGGGGTCCGCCGTGGACTGGCGCAGCTCGGCATGCACCCTGCTGTCGCACCGAGGTTACGAGCGATGTCGGTTCGGGGAGGGTACCGTCGGCACTGATTAGGAGGTCGATCCTGCCAAATCAAGGGTGCCCTCGTGTCCTGTGTCTCGCGACCCACGCCTCCTACATTCCCATGGCGATGTGGCACTCGGAGGGGTCTCGTGTCCTCCCGCGTGTCCTTCCCAATCAAGTCCGACGGTACCCTGATGCTCTTCGTGCTCGTTGCATGTTCTCGTGCATCCCGGGATGGGGTGCCCTCGAGTATACTTCCGTCTGGGCCGGCGGAGGGCCCCGTGTTCTCGGCGGGTGTTCTCCTGTCCTAGGTCTCATTCGGGCATGCCCCTCTACAGGAGGAATCTTCGAGAGCAAACCAACAAATGGTCTGGGGGGCGATTTGTCGTGCTCCTTTTGGCTATGTTGGAGCATGTTTTGACACGTTCATTCGTCGTCCAGACGCCGCCTGCGGGAGGACGTGCCCGATCTACTCTGCGGTTCGACTGTCGCCGACGCTTCGCCCTTGTCGCCACCCTTGCCCTTGCTACCTCCGCTGCCTGCTGACGTCGACGGATCGGCTGGCGTCAAGAAATCTCCTACTTCTCCTGCATATCTCTCCCTGCTTCCCCTAATCCTCCTCCTCCTCCTCCTCCTCCTCCTCCTCCTCCTCCTCCTCGGTATCCTCCTCCTCGTTATCCTCCTCCTCGTTATCCTCCTCCTCCTCCTCCTCCTCCTCCTCTTCCTCCTCCTCTTCCTCTTCCTCCTCCCGGCCTCTTTCTTATTGTCTCCTCCTCCGCGCTGCAGCGCCGCCGCCTTTGGCGCGCGCCCGCGCGCGCAAGGCGGCAAGAGGCGCGGTCATCGGAGGCTTGTGTTCCTTCGGCTTGGGTCAGAAGCTGCGGCTCACAGGATGGAGGAGCTCACAAGTGAAGAGTTTGCTCACCCGCGTGTGACGCGGAAGGCAGCCAGTGGCCCGGGGCGGACCAGGCACCGCGAGAAACTGATTACGGCCGCGGACTAGCGGTACCAGTTTTACTGCCAAGGACAGCCTAAAAACTTGAGACTGGCTACGGAGGAGGAGGAGGCAGGAGGAGGAGGAGGAGCAAGCAGGACCCCCCTGGGCCCCCCCCTGTCTCCTGTGGCCCCTGGACTCGAGCCCGGGGCCTCCCAGGTGGGAGGACGGGCAGTGGTACGACGCGACCGTGGAGCGCATGCTCGAGGGCGGCGGCATTCGCGTGCGCTTCGACCTAGACGGCTACGAGTACCACTGGCTGCCCGAGGTCTGGCGGGTCAGCTCGGGGGCCGCGGCCGCCGACGCGCGGGCGCCGCCGGAGGAGCCGCTGCCGGAGGAGCCGCTGCTGGAGGAGCTGCGACCCGAGGAGCCGTCCCTAGAGGACCCGCTGCTGGAGGAGCCGCTGCTGGAGGAGCTGCGACCCGAGGAGCCGTCCCTAGAGGACCCGCTGCTGGAGTCGCTGCTGCTGGAGGAGCTCAGAGGAGGAACAGGTACCTATGCCGCTGCCCTTCCTCCGTCTCCCCCCTCTGCGGCCTCCCGGGAGGCCCTCGGCGCCACCGCCGGATCGGCCTCGAGGTTCTGCTCAGGACGCACCCCAGGAGAGGTCCGGGGAGTAGCGGCATGGGCACCTCCTGGCTTCCCTACAGGAGCCGTCCCTGGGGGAGCCGCTGCCGGTGGCGCCGCTGCCAGAGGAGCCGCAGGCGCCTCCCCGCGCGGAGGCAGCGGGCGGCCCGGCGGGGGCTCCTCCGGCAGCTGCGCCGCAGGACGTCGTGGGCGGAAAGCGGTGTCCGCCTCCGCGGCGCCGCGGGCCCCGTGGACGGGGGGCGTTTCTTCGCGCATGCCCCGCGCGGGATGTGCCCGTGCGGCCGCGTCTCCGTGGGATCGCGCCCCGGGGCCCAGGGCACGAGGGCGCGGATGCAGGCACGTTCGGCGCTCGCGAGGACGGGGGGGCACGGGCGCCCGCGGCGCAGTTGGAGCACCTGCGCTCCGGGCAGCGCCTCCGCGCGACCGTCACTGGCGTGAAGTCCTTCGGAGCGTTCGTGTCCGACGGGGAGATTCAGGGCCTCGTCCACGTCTCGTGCATGAGGACCAGCGGGCGCACGAAAGGCGCCGCCGATGTTGTGCGGGAGGGCCAGGAGGTGGACGTTTGGGTGAGGTATGTGAACATGAAGACCAGACTGGTGGAGTTCTCCATGGTGGACGTGTGGAGCTTCGTAGGCGTGGACAGCAGTACGTGGATCTCCGGCAGGGTAGTCTCACATGTGAAGCAAGGCGTCTACGTAGCACTGCGTCATCCGGACGCGGGTGCAGAGTTTGAGGGGAAGCTGGTGCAGAGTGTCACAGAGCTAACAGCCATGGGTATTGATTGCTCTGTAGGACAAGAGCTGAATGTGAGAATTATCAACGTCGATGTGGACAAGGTCCAGCTGCGGCTGAGCGCCGCACCTGAACTGTTGGCTGACGCGGACGGCGTGGACCCGTTCGTGCTCTTCGAGAAAGCCAAGGCAGACGGCCAATGGCTGAACGCATCGGTGGTGCAGACAGTAAGCTTTGGTATCTTCGTGACGGTCAGGCCACCGGGTTCTTCACCCGACAGCCCTGGTGTCGACGGCCTGGTTCACATTTCCGAGATAGGCGGCTTCGTGAAGAATACCTCGGACGTGGCCAAGACTGGTGACTCGGTGATGGTGAGGGTCACAGAGGTGGACCCGGAGCAGCGCAAGCTGGCCTGTTCGATGAAGGCGGAGGTGCCGGAGGTGGATTACTCGCCCTGGATGAAGCTCGTCGGAAGAAACGAGTGGATCACGGCCGTTGTCAAAGAGGTGGACGACGTCGGGCTGACAGTGGAGGCCCGCGCGCCGGGCAACGAGACGGGCGCCGCGTGCACCGGCTTCGTGGAGGCCGGTCAGATCCGGAGGGGCCACGTGGAGAGCCCATGGGGCGAGGCCAAGGTCGGCGACGAGGTCTCGGTGCGACTGCTCCGGGTGGAGAGGGGCGCGCGCGTCGGGCATTCGTTGACGTCTGGTGGCCTTCGGCCCATCCCGCCGCAGCGCCTACGGCCAGGAGCCTTTTGGAGGTTTTCGGACGTTCTCGCTCGATATCGTGGGTTCTCGGCTGTTTTCCAGATTTGGGATGGTCTCCCTCAGCTGCGCCTCGCCGAGAGCGTTGCGGGTATGCCAAGATCGTCCCGACCGGCCGACGGAGTGCCGAGCCAGGGCCCGAAAAGCACCATGGGGTTGCTGTCGGGAGCCTTGGAATCGCGTGTCGCTCCGCCGAGTCTGGCCCAGCACGCTCTGGCGCGAGCTTTGCCCAGCCTCCCGTCCCGCAGAGCGGAGCGACACGCTATCCGCTCGCATCGCACAGCGTGTCGCCGGGGCCAGCGCCGCGACAAGCTGAGCAGATGTTCCTGACCGTAGGTCGTGCGGTCTTGGGGGTGCCGCCTTGGGGCCTCTCGGAGGCTTCTTGGAAGCCCCATTGGGAGCTTGCTAGCGGTCTCGGGGATCATCTTGGGGCGCAGAGCGTGAAATATCAGCTCGAGTTTCCCTCGGGGCCCTCTTGGACCGTTTGGGTGTCCTCCTGGGCAGTCTTGGGCCTGGGCCGTCTTGGGCTGTCTGGGGGCCCTCTCGGGGGCCTTTAGGGCCGTTTTAGGCCGACCTTGGAGGACTCTTGGGCCATCTTGGAGCGCCAGAAGCCCGAAAAGACGAGAGCTCTAAAATCCTTTTAACCCTGATTGCTTTGGGCCTCTCGGGGCCCTCCTGGGGGTGCCTCTCGGAGCCTTCTTGGGGCTTCTTGGGAGCCCTCGGGCTGTCTGGAGGGCATCGTGGGCAGTCTTGGGGCCTTGTGGGGCCGTCTCGGGGCACTCGTGGACCCTCTCGGGCGCTTCTCGGGAAGCATCGAGGGCTTTTCGTGGTCCTTCGGGTCGTTTGGGGTGCCGGTCCCCGTGCTGGCCCCGCGACAAAACTGGAATCTCGTAGTGTGGGCCGTCGAGAACCTGACAGAGCCTCGGTCGATCTCGCGGAGCCGCACGAGCCTCGGGGCGCTCCACAGCGTGCTGAAGACACGGTGGCGGATTCTCTATGAAGCCCGTTCCCGACGTCTCTGCCTTCCGAAACGCGTCGAAGAAGGATGATTGGCACCCCGCAGTGGTTTTAAGCACGACTCCTAAGGGCTTGGTCCGCTTGGTTGTGCGCCCTCCTGTCCAGCCCGGCGAGCCGTGGGAGGGCGTCATGGCGCCTCAGCCGGGTGCTGCCTACCGGGTTGGCCAGCAGGTGAGCGTCAAGGTCAAGTCCGCGCAACCGAAGACAGGCAGGCTGACGCTGAGCTGGGTGTGACGAGGGCTCCACCGACGAGGCGGCGCGGCGACAGAAGATGCTGAGCTCATCAACGGCGGATCGTGGGCGCGGCAGCCCATTTGGGCGCGGAGGCCCTGGTCTTGTTGAGCTTAGCAGGGCGCGTTTCGCTTTGGACCCAGGGTGCTGTCTCATCGTCATCATCATTATCGTTTCTTGCATTGTGCTGACATGGGTGTTTAACGATCGGCGCGTGGACACACCAAGCACCGAACGCTGTGTAGATTTTGGCAGCGGCAGCAGCAGATCTTTAAGGGGTGGGCACAGTGTGGGAAGCAGGCAGGTAACATACGGCATCCGCACGTGAGCCTTCAGCCTGTTGCTGCAGGCATGCCCGAGCAAGCTCTCACACATTCGTCGACCCGATACCTTTCCAATTACCTTCAGATCCTGGAGGATTCCTTGTCTGATTAGGGCGGCTGTGATATCCACGGCCAAGGGCCAAGCCTCAATTGGTGTTCCACTGGCTTCCAGACCCTGCATTCCTCATCTAAGGGTGCCTCATCCAATGCCCTCACCGTGCTTGCAGTCCGCGCATGCCGCAGAGCGGGAGTCACAGTGGGCCCCCAGGGGGACAGGAACGCGCATATGCATTGCGTGCTCGGGTGTAGGGCCTCGAGGCGCTCGTGACTGGACACTCGAGTCTATCTCGGGGCCGTCTTGGAGCCGTCAGGGGACCTTCTTGGGGCCTTCTTTCAGCGACTGCAGTGAGTGTGGCTACGCAGGGATGTGTTTTGCGATCGGCGCCATTGGGGTCTAAGGGTCACCACGTTACACCCAAGGTTTGATGAACCCTCGCCGAGGCGCGGCAGAAATCTCTGTCGAGGTCCACGCCCCCCCCCCCGCCCCCCCAGGCGCGGGTTGCAAACCACACCCACGCCCTTCGGGGTCGCCGACTCTTTGGTGCTCTTGGGCCTCTATCTGGGCCTCTCGGGGTCACCTGGGCGTCACTTGGCTGGTGTCGGGGCGATGCTAGAAAGTCCCTGGGCCGGTCTGGAAGGGCAATCGGCCGCATTGGAGGCCAGCTGGGATTTCTGGGCCAATCTTGGAACCACGTTGGAGATATGTTGCTGTCTGTACAACAACCCCATGTTTGTTCATAATCGTTGCCCCTGGCGGAGCCATATTGACCCTGATGTGTCTTATTGGGGCCGTCTTGCGGCCATCTTGAGTCGCTGAGGCCATCCCATTGCTAGCTTTGCGCATCCTGGGGTTTCTTGGGGCAGCCTCAGGGCCTCCTTGGGCTCTCTTGGAGCCATCTTGGCGTCCCTTGTGAGGGTCTCGGGGTCTTAAGGCATCTTTGGGCCCTTGGACCTTGGAGCCAGACACGTCGTGTTGGGTTGTGCTGTTGCGTGGGATCTGGGCCCTGAGAGTGCGACCCCGTCGTTTTTGCACAAGTGGTCGAGTGCCCGGGAGCGTAGGCCGATTTGCATTGCGCCTTGTATCTAGGGGCCGTAGCCTCTTGAAAAGACATGTCATCGCAGTGCGTCTGGACATGTTTTAACGGATTCCTCTGGGTAGTGCTCTTGGGCGTTTTTTTTGGAACGACAGGGGAATCCGTTGCCCACCGATCTTACATGGGGGCAACAGACGCAGGTACGACAAGGGCGCCCTTGCGATGGCGGGGGGGCTGAGCGACCATCCCTGATTGATAATGACGATGTAATCTTTCTTGATTTTCAAGGTGGCCTCGCTGAGTTCGATTGTGCCTGCAAACATGGCAAGAGAGACCGCTGCTGGCAGCGCGGCGCGGTGGCCGCCTGGCTGAAGCAAAGATGCGCTAATTGTTTTTTCTCCAGGGCCCGCGAATTACCACGAAGCACGGCGCGTCGGTGACGGTGGTAGTGTACATCGCCGATGACTGGAAACAAACACACACTTCGGGGTGGCGGGTGTGCAGCGGCGGGGCGGTGAGTGAGAGCTCGTGGGCAGGTGGAGTGTGCGAAGGAGCAATGGGGGGGAAACTAAACGGCCTCGCTGACTCTGTTCCGACCTCAGAGTGGCGCGCTCGGGGGGGGCGCCCCAGGGGCAGCCCGACGCTCCAGCATGTAGTACACCAGGTTCACCACACATCCCCGTTCATCCTGGCGTGCATTACCGTCAGCCCGAGCTCACTGAAGAGGCACGCCTGGTCCCCGCGGCGGTACCTCCAAGCCCACTCGTGAGCCCATTTCTCCAACGTCCCAGTGGAGAGGCTGTCGATCGTGCGGAGCTGCGTCGGGATCCTGTGCTTGAGGTGTTTCCACAAACCATCCTGGAGCTCCGTGCCCCCGTAGCACGCGAGCACGCTGCCATCGGAGAGGGCCAACTTGCAGATCTTCACCCACTGCTTACGGCAATGCTTGACCCTGGTGTTGAGCGGCAGCCTCCTGTAACACCGGGCACCATCAGAGTGCCAGATGACCGCGTTGTCGCCGGCAGTGTGGTTGATCATGAGGTCCTCCGTCTCGGCGATGCTCTCGGGCCTGGTCTTCCCCCCTTTCGGCGTGGTGTACAAAGGGAGCGGGTAGATCACCGTGGACTTTCGATCTCCGCGGCGGGACATGCCGAAGTAGCGGACATGGAGCAGCCGGCCATTGTTGAGCGTCACGGTGCGCAGAGTCGTAGCATCCACCTCGGAGGAGTAGGAGGAAGGGGGGTGGTTCGGATGAAGGGGAAAAGTTATGTGGGAGGAGACCTCGCATTGCCCAGAGAACACGACATCGCGCTGCTCCATCTTACTGCCGATAGCAATGACGTCGCGCAAGGCGTCCAAGACCTCCTTGCAAGTCCTGTTCGCCACTCCTGTCAGCTGCGCTGCGTCATCCTGATGTATCTGGCATGTCAATTGCCCGCTTGCGAGCCACGCCAAGGCGGCGAGCTTCTTCATTGGGATCTCGTGGTCTGCCCAAGTCCCAGATGTTGCCCTGTTAAACTCGCGGCAACCGCGCCTGTAGCACTGCACCCCAGGGTGACGTTTGCCGCGGAAGTACGTCTTACCCAAGGGCCACTGGCAGCCTGCGCATTCCGTGTTGTGGAGGTCCTGGAGGAAACCGAGCTTCACGAGCATCCAGTAAGCGGCCGTGTCGTCCATGGCAAGTATCTCGTCAAACGTCCACCGCTCCGCCTTGGCAA